TGCTTGGTAGGGTGGAGGGTTGACGAAAGAGGGGGAAGCCTTCAACGAGATGTATTGACACGGTGGCTGCGATGATGGGCTCAAGTATAGCAGGGATCATGGAGCTGGCACAGGATCGGGCAGTGTTTCATTCTGCTGTGCATGGGGTCGCTATGAGTTGGAAAAGACTCGACGGCACCTAACAACAACAACAACATGCAGGGGAAGTGTGCCTGTGACCATGTATAGGGTTGGCAGGCAATGTTTCTACAAGTGTATTGGTATGTTCTGTAAGAATTCCCAGGTATATAGTAGAGCTGACAAGGGACAAGGTTGTAGTCACTTCTTGGACACAGCCACCTACCCAGAGAAAGCAAGTAATCAGATCTGTGGGCTCAGCACCATAGTGACAGGGGACATCAAGCTCAACTGGCATCACATACTACACAAAAACATTGTTCCACATCCTACTTTGGCGAGTAGTGACTGGGATCTTAAAAGCTTGCAAGTGGCCATCTAGATGCAATGATGGGTTTCTCCTCGTCCAGAGCGAAGAAGAATGAAGAAAACCAAAGACATATGGAAACAATTAGTTCAAGGGACTGGTACATCATGAGATCCTGAGCCTATATGACTATGAGACCAGAAGAACTAGATGGTGCCCGGCTACCACTGTCAACTACTCGGAGAGGGATCTATGTAGGAGTTCCTGGATAAGGAAGGAGAACAATGTGGAACAAAACTCAAAATCATTTGGGAAAAAAAAAATGGACCAGGTTTGCTGATGTGATATAGCCTGGTGGAACCCCTGAGACTGTGGCCCCTAGCTGCCCTTCAGGTCTGGAATTGAACCCACACCTGTGGCTTCCAGCCAAACAAAAGACAGGCATATGAGGTGAACATTTACCTGAGGTAGATACACTCCTTGGAGAGAATAAGCATGGGAGAAAGAGAGCTGTTCACACCCAGGGAGACCGCTCAGGGGGCAGGAGTCCATGGAGGGAAGGACACAAGGAAGAGGTAACTATGGGGAGGAAGTGAGTGGGGAGCTGTTGCATTGTGGGAAATTGCAGTCAATGTCAAGAGACAAAGTGTATTTAAACTGCTGTATAGAAAGTGAATTTGTTCTGAAAACTTTCACCCAAATCACAATAAAATAAAATAAATTTGAGGTGCATACAATCGTCCGTAATAACAAATGAGCACTATGCAACATGATCCAGATGGTATGATTGTTAACTGCTGTGTCGTTATGTTAGAGATGTTGTAGTGTATCTGGAGGTGTTTTTATGCATACATACACCGTATACTAACACAGACATTTGACTAACTGATGGTAGCTATGAACTGTACCTAACTGTTCCAACTTACAGATCTGACTTAGAGACAGACTTAGAAGTGGAATGTGTTTGTGATCTGGGGACTGGCTGTACTATAACCTGTTTGGAAATGGGCTTCCTCTCGTTATGTTCATGAAGTAATGCTGGCCTGGGTGGGCCCTAAGCCTAACCCCTTTCAAGTGGTGTCTTCTACAAAGAGCAGAACAGATGTGGGGCATGTGCAGGCCCAGAGCACCAGGCGTTGCCATAGCCACGGGAAGGGCCGAGCCCTAGAGCCACACTCTGAATCTGGGCTTCCAACCTCAGACGGGTGAGAGAAGACAGTTCTGTTCTGTGGAGCGGTCCGCGAGGGGTGCAGTGTTGTGACAGCCTCCTTCTTGGCTTATCTGACCCCTGGCCTGCTTGGCATCAACACCCCTTCGACCCGGAGGGTTTCTGCAAAGTTAGTCAGCGTGCCTTGCGTCTGAAGGTAAGTTGGAAGACCCGGAAGCTGACGGCCAGCAGGAGCCCAGCTGGAGTGTTTGCATCTTCTGTTTGCTGGTGGAACGTGGCGCCCGCAGGGCTTTTCTGACGTGTCAGAGGGCGGCTCGCGCTCGGGGACTTGAGCAGGGTTTTCTTCAGGGAATTTCCCGGCGTGAACTTAGAGGGAAAAGCCTCCATTCCTGGTTGCTGTGTTTATTCTCGGACAAGCACCGGCTGACTTGCTGTGTGTTTCAGGGTGTGATGCTCCGTAGTGGCCGTCCACAGCTCCGGGCGGCGCGTCTCTGATGCTCACCTGTCCATGTGTTTGTTCCCAGTAGTGGGGTGGTTCCCGCCTTTGTCTGCAGATTGTCAGAATTTTACAATGTGGGTACACACAGTGTGAAGTCTGGGTCCCACCGACAGTGGGGTGTGGGTGGTGTCTCCTGACTGTCTGTCTGGTAGGCTTTGTTTGATAAACGTGAAATCTTACAAGGCCCCTAAGAACCTGATCAAGGCCACAGGGGTCTGTCTCCTCACGGAGGGGTGAAGGGTTTGTGGGTGTCTGTAGGCTAGTGTTTGACCAGTTTCTCCAAGGCGCCCTCCCAGCCCCAGTCCTCATTCTGTTACCGCCCTTTTCTGCCCTTGCCCCCAACCCTGCTGGAGGCAAGGACAGGCTCTCTAACCGTAATGACCCCA